AAGGTTCTGGGCCTGTTTCCCTGGCCTCCTTGGGGACCACCTCATGCCTCCATCCTTTCTCTGAGACCACTGCCCAGGCTCCCTGTGCTTGTCCACTCTTGCGCCCATACCTGTCCCTCTACCATTGCCTTCTGTATCCCTTCCCTGTCCTAGTCACCTCCTCGTTCTTGGGCAGTCTCTTCTCTGGCTTTCTTTGGTCCTGCTTTCTGTGTTTGAGTGTTGTTGAGAAAGGGTTTCATTTCTATTTATTGTCCAGGGGGCCTTGTCATAGTGGGGTCCCTATAGATAAGTGAGTGTATAACCTCTCCCACCCCCATTCAAACATCTGAGGGGAAAAGGAGGAGAAAGGAAAAAAAGGGTTGAACTCAGTGATAGTCAAGATCTCAAAAATTGAGAATTGCAGTCAAAAACTACATGGGAGGCGAGTGTGAGCGCTACCATGAATCAAGGCTGCCATCTGGTGGGCACCACTGAGCACACCAAGTCCTACGGGGTTTCCTAGAGCAAGCATGTCAAACTCAAAGGCTGACAAGGGCCAAATAAACAAGGTTTAAGTTTATGTGGACCGCAAAAAACCAAAAGCTTCAATTTTCATAGAAATGTAGCTTTATTTAGAAAAGTATAGTATAGAAAAACAGAGAACAAGAGCAATGATAAAATTAATGTTTTCTTCCTGACACTTGGCATCCCTTCTCTGCTACTCTCTTTCCTACTTTGGGGGAAATTACTTTCAAAACTGACCCACGGTGAATGTCAGTAATTCTGGATCTGACAGGAGACTTATTTCCTTTCATAATTGTAAATAACTGTTCCCACCGTTATATTGGCTGGGCTGCAAAAATATTCCTCGTGGGCTGCATGTGGCCCATGGGCCGGGAGTTTGACATGCTTGTCCTAGAGCATCCCAGCTGGTCTGATCCAGCCACAGACTCCTGCAGGAAAAATGAAGGCAGGCAAGGCCAACGTGAGCTTTACGCCCTCCAAGAAAAGGGAGGCAAAGGGAAGAAAAAAATCAAACTCAAAGCTTTCTAATGCCCAGGATCATGGGAGCACACGCTCCACCCTCCTTTTTATTTTGTATTTTTCAGGTTCAGAGGCTACCTCAATCCATCATTTCTACTCTGTATTTGTGCTTTGAATCCCATCTCCTCTTGCTTTCTGGGGACCTCCATCTGTCCTACATTTCCTAGTTCTTCCCCTCACTTGATCCTTGTCATATCATGTTTAAGAGTTTCATGCTTAGAACTCAACCCCCTTGGCTTGCTCATTCTCTGGTTCTCTGCTCCTGACCTACATCTGCTGGCATCATTTCCTTGCCTTGCACCCTGAAATCTGGCTTCTGTCTTCAGAAGTCCCAGCTTTCCTGTTGCATCCTCACTTCTCTGACCTCATCCTAGCACCTTGCTCTGATAGCACGGAACACTGTGGGCCACCCTTCCCTAGGAGGCTGAAACGCTCTTCTTGGCTTCCAGACTCCCTCCTCACCTCTAATTATTCTGCCCCTGGCTTCTTGTCCACTCTGCCCATTGCTTAAAGGTTGGCTTCCATGCAGGGCTCACCCCTCACCTTTTATAGCCAACCACGCATCAAGGCCCCAAGTATTTCTCTAGCCAAATCCATCTACTGCTCCGGGGCCCTCTGCCACTCTCTGGTTCTGGTGTCATCTCTCATCTGGATTTACTACGACGTTCCTAACAGGCTTCTCTTCACTCGCTCTGCTTTTACTACACTGTGATCAGGGGCATATTTCCAAGGATGCTGCTCCCTTCGATGGCTTGTCACGGCTCTTAGGATAAAGTTCAGATGTGGCCTTACCTCACTGGTCCTGCTAACCTGTCCAGCCTAGCCCCTCATCATCCTCCATCACTGGGGTTGAGCTCTCAAAAAATTAACTTGGTTCTTTTCCTTGAACCAGTCACATCCTCTCTCTCTGGTCTCCAGAACTCTGTCTGTTATTTCCTCTGCCTGGAACTCACTTTCCTGCCTCTTCTGGGTAACTAGTGTTTCTCAGGTCAATTCAGATGTCAATTTCCCTGGGCAGAGGCCTCCTGGTAGACACCCTCTCTCTGTGATCCCTGGTACTGCACCTCCCTTCCCATTAAAACTGTTACCACACTGTGTTGTTGGTACCCTTTTCCTGGTGGCATTTGCCTTGAGAATGTAAACTTTGTGATAACAAGGCAAGAGCTACCCTTTTTCATAACTTTATTTGCAGTGGCTAGCACAGTGCCCTTTTCTCCTATGCTTTCAGTTTGCCAAGGCCTTGCTTCCCCACCCAAGGATGAATTCTCAAGTTGCTTCTGAACTCCAGAAAAATATATTCAAGTCCCTGCTGGGGGTCTTCATCTGGACGTACCCGAGGCATGTCCAACTCAAAATGCCCAAGTCTTAGGTCATCATCTTCCTCCCAAAGCAAACCCTCTCCCAGGACCTATCTTGGTAAATGGCCCCACTGCTTACCTGATGCCTCAGCCAGAAACCTCAATTTCTTCCTTGTTTCACTAAAAATAAACAAAATCTTGCTGATTCTAACCAACTCTTCAGTATTTCTCATATCTACCCCTTGTACCAGCTGCCTCCCGAGGGTGTCTGAAGCCATCACCTTTTAGCTGGAGCACTACGATGACCTCTAGTGTTTCTTCCCCACTCTGCACTGCCACCCGAAAGCTCTCACACAATTCTAATTATGCCACACTCCTTTGCCATGCAACCACTCTACCTACATGTTCTACATGACACTGATTCCAAGGAATGGTGTTGCTTGATAAAAAGTTCTATGCTGACACAGGTTTAGAATCAAGAGTTTAAATACAGCTAACCCACTGTCCGCCCCCCCCCACCCCCCCCACCTTTTGCAGGACTTCTCAGAGCCCTTTCATGTGCGGACATGCATCCTGACTCTACAAGAGAGCTATGTAGCAGTGAGCAGTTTCCCAAATCTATGTTGCCATGTGTTGGGGGCCAGATGTAAGCTGGCAAAGTCCTTGCACCTGTACTTCTTTTTTCGTGGAGCATTTCAAGATGCAGCTTCACAGTGAGAATTATTGCTTTCATAACTTTCCATTATCCACATGACACCATTCAAGCGCCTTAGCAGAGGATGCGAACAAGAACTGTGAAGTCAGAATATTTGAGCTCATATTATGGCTGTGCCATTTACTTAGCTGTGTGACACTGCACAAACTCTTTTTCTCCATGCCTTTATTTCTTTACTGTACTATGAGGATATAATACAGTATTGCATAGGGTTGGTGTAAGGATTAGAGTTGCTATTAATAATATGTGTAAAATGTGCAGGACAGTGCCTGGCACATGGTAAGTGCCCAATAAATTCTATTTTCTATTCGTGGTCTTTCACCATCTGTCTTCTCCATCCTCACTTCCTCCCATGAAGGGAGGTCTAGATTTTCTACATTTCTTGTCTCTGGCGCTGTCCTCCTTTTACCTGAAATTCCTCTTTAGTCCCCCCTCCCTCCTTATTTGTCTCCACCCCTTTGCTTTAAATTTTCCATGTTTTCCCTGGCCCACTATTCAAAATACTTGCACATTCAACACGTATTTTATCAGGTGGCTGCTATGTACCCCACATTTCCTTAATGGAGAGTCAGGCATGTCAAAGCATTTAACATACTGACATCAGTCCATCTTTCTCTTCTATACCTGATCGGCTGCATTCCGCACAGGCCCCTTTTACAAACCTTGTCCCTGCATCCAATATCCTACTAGACTTTAAACTGCTCCAGAATCTTCCATCTTCGTGTCCCCAGCTCCTAGAACAACTTTTGGCACCTCACATGTACCCAGTATAAATGTATTGACTGGATACAAGCATTTGTCTCGGTCACTGTGCCAAGCCCTCCACTGCCTGGCACGACGTGGGACCAGGCACTGTTGTCTCTGGGTCTTCTGTTTCCTAAATGGCACACAGAACAGGGTAAAACCCGCCTCCCAGCGCGGGGTGCGGACGCGGGGCACAATCTGACTGCGCAGTCCCACCCGGCGCACCGTGGGCGCGCCCTGCGGAAGCCCTTTCCCCGGTTCCTCAAAGTGACCCGAGGACGAATGCGCAGGGCGGGCGGATCACACCCAGGGGGCTGCGTGGGCACGGCGGCACCCTGGCACCCTCGGGTCCCTGCCCGCCCGCCAGCCCCGCACTCACGCTGCGCGCTGCAGCTGCTTCAGTAGGTGCGCTACCCGGGCGCGGGCGGCGGCCATGGCTGCGCAATCGCGTCCCGGGGCCCCGCCCCCCACACGGGCCAATCAGCGCCGCGTCCTCCTCCTCCCGCCCACCCGGCGCAGCTGGGTAAATCCCTGGTTGGCACTTCGGTGGCTCAGGGCCACTTTCCCACGACTCAAAACCGCCAGTGCTCCAACTGCAGTCCCCTATCTGCCTTGGAAATCGCCAGAGGTAACTGCTCCGAAGGGTCTTGGATACTTGAGTCTCTACTTAAAACCCTCTTTCTTATGTGGGGAAAGGGAAAGACAAGGGCATACTTTTCCCAGTAATTTCTTTAGCCCGAGCAGGTGTGCCCAGTGGATAGAGCACTGGCCTGCAGACTGAAATGTCCGGGGTTGGATCAGGTCAAGGGCAGGTACCTCGGTTGCAGGCTCCTCCTAGCTCCCCGCCCTGGTTGGGGGCGTGCAGGAGACAACTAATTAATTTCTGTCTTTCCCTCTCTCTTACAAAAACAAACAAAACACAAAACAACATCCTCGGGTGAGGATTAAAGATTAAATGCTCCCTGAATGGCTCGGCTTTTGATGAAGTTGCTCCAGGATTCCATTAAATGGTACACTCTGGGAGGGCTTAGCAGCCCCAAGTGTACCAAGTCCACGTGGGAAAGCTGATCAATGATCAACTTGGAAAAGTTCAACTTTCACTTAATCAGAAAATATTCTAAGTAATGACTGAACAAGTGTCTTAAGTAACCTGTATGAAATCTCTTTTCTTTCATAGCAATTTCTAAAGTAACCTTATTAAAATGAGACAACACTGAAAAAAATGAATTCCCAATTTTAATTTCCTATCAATTATCAGACCAAACAGCAGAGTATGGCTCTCAGCTCTGTAATAGCAGCAAAAAAAGACCCCCCTGGATTTGAGATCAACTATGAATACTTTTCAGGAGATATTAGGGAGAGATAACCAGAATGACAATAACATTTCAACACCTAAACAAACCAGCTCCAGGCCAATCTGACAAATGAGTAAAAGATAATGTTTCAATTAAGAGTTTTGTAAGCTGTCTTCCCAAAACAGCTCCTATTAGAAGTTTTTTAAAAAATTGGGGACATAAAATGTTGAGAAATATTTAAGTATTTTCTGGACTAATGACAATTACCACCGTTATTCAGTTATACCCAAACTTATCATTTACAGCAAGCAAATCAATATTTTGTGTTGAAAAGCAGGAAATCTGTTTTCAGAAAAACCAATCATACTATACCTTCAATATTATATCTGATACTAAAAGTTGTGTTTTTTTTTTACAGTGATGTTGCTAAAATCACAAGTTTGCTGCGGTTTTAGAAAATAAAGAAAAATAATATGTGCCAGATATCCAGGTCACTGGCTTTATTTAACGATAGCCAAACAGTGAAAAGCAACATTAAATACAGACACACTTTTATTAAATAACTTCACAATTACTTTTTTAAGGTTAGTTCTGAAATTTTTCTGTGTGCTCCCAGCTACTTTGATCAACACACAAGCTTGTTACAAAAATAAAGCTGAAGGCATACTATTTTGTCTCTGAAATATGAACTGTCCCTCATACCACATCCAAAGTTAATAAAAAAAAATACATCCTTTAAATCTCCAGCCAAAGACATGGTTATTGGAAAAACATTATTTTGTAAAGTCCAACATTTTCATAGTATTTTGAGGGGAGGGCAATCCCATCCCTTCAACCTCAATGAAGGCGGTGGCCACCTTCTCCTGCACCCCCTGCAGGACTACACCTTAACATGTAGAGTAGTTCTTGGTTTACAGGTACTCCGGTCAGAGGGTCAACTTTACTTCCTTTTCTTTCCTCCTTGGTGTTGCCCTCCTTTCCTCTTGCCACCCCAGCCGGGAGGCCCGGAATTCATCTTGCCTCCCAAGCCTCCTTTCCTCTTACCTCCCTGGCTGGGCGGGGGCCCCCCTTTCCTCCTGCCCCCAGGACCCTGCCGGCCCCCCTTTCTCTTGCCCTTTTGGCTCATTTTTCTCCTCTTGGCCGCCTCCTCCTGGTCTTCCTCCCTCATCTGCTTATTGGCGGCCCTGGTCACGTCCAGCTGAGGCTTTTTGCTGTTCATGAGTCGCAGCATCTCCAACTGGCTCTTTTTCTCCGCGGCAAAGTCCCCGAAAAGAGGCTGAAACTTCCTCTTCTTGCCGGAGCCCCGGGGGGCCTTCTCCTTGGGCAGACGCTCCTGAAAGCGCCCCACGGAAGCGGTGGAGACCCTGGCCACTTGCAGGGCGCGGCCCAGCTCCTGCTTACTCTGGTGTCCCGTCGGGTGCATCCCGGCCGAGCTGGGGAGCCGCGTCTTGTGCGCGCGGGCTAAGTTACGCAGCCGGTTCAGCTCGTTCTTGGCCACCCGTTCCTTCTTGGCCTGAATCCGCTTGGCGAACTGGTCCTCCAAGGGGTCGGCACTCCCAGGCACCTCGATCAGCCACTCCTTGGTGTCGTCGCGGGCGCGCTGGTAGCCCCAGCGGCGTCGCCACTGGCCGCTGACCTCGTCCCACACCAGATTGGTCTTCTTTTTGGGACGGATGCCCTTGAGGCGCGCGAACTGCTGCCAGCGGGTAAGCGGCCGCGGCCGGGGCACTGGCTTCTCGCGCGGCAGGCGAGTGGTGGGCTCCGGCAACCGCGCCACCAGCGCCTCCTCTACGCGCTCCGTGGGCAACTGCCACAGCTGGTTAATGAGCAGCTGCGTGTTGTCCCGCGCCAAGGCCCGCAGTTCGGCCTCCGGGGGAGGTTCCCCGCGCCGCAGGCCCGTGGGAGGATTCCGGTCCGAGGCCAGCAGGTTACCCAGGTCGAACTCCAGCTCCAGCTCCTTGTGCACCGTGATGCGCTGCAACTTGTCGGCTTCGTCCCTCTCCGCCTTAGCCAGCAGCTCCTCCACGCTCTGGCCCTCCATGGTCCCGGCTCCGCTCACCAGCTCCAGTAAAACAACTCAAATTACTTCCCCGCCAGCACCGGCTCCAGCCGGGGCAACACGACCACGTGCGAGAGCCCAGACGCTCGCCCCGGAAGAGAAAGCTTCACTTCCGGAGCAACCGGAACTGGCTCATCATCCGGGCGACTGGATAAGAAGAGGCCGGCAGAGGGCAGTGTTGGAGAGCAGATGGGGTTCGAAGCGGCCTTTTTGGCTCGTGCCTGGACGGGGCGGAGCCGGTGCGAGAACCCGGACTACAAATTCCAGGGTCCCCGGAGGCGGCGGCGGCGGCGCAGGTGGGCGGCGCAAATTCCTCGGCCCACGGAATGTGGTGTTCCGGAGCGGTTCTGTCACGATATCGGTGAAAAAGTGTTCTCAAGATGTTTAGCCAGTCAGCCCTTTCTGAGACTGGACAGGTTACATCTCACCCGAACCCTGGCCCGCTCGTGGGGGTCCTGGGTTAGGGCCGAGAAGGACACTTTGCACAGACACGTGGCGCTAAGCGCAGGCTTGGTTTGCCCGGGGCGCGAGCGGGGCTGACGGACCGCCCGCCCGCGGAGCCCCGCAGCTCGGACTCTGGGCCGCGCGCTCGCCTGGCTGGCGGCCGAGGAGCGCCGGGCTCTGCCGCTGGATTGCCTGGGTCCAGCCCTGACCGTGCCACTGGTTGACTTCCAGTTTTAACGTCTCTGGGCCTACTTAAACTATATTTTTATTGATTTCAGAGGTGAAGGGGGAGAGAGAGCGACAGAGAGAGAGAGAGAGACAGAGAGAGAGAGAGAGCGAGAGAGAGAGAGAGAGAGAGAGAGAGAGAGAGAGAGAGAGAGAGAGAGAGAGAGAGAGAGAGAGAGAGAGAGAGAGAGAGAGAGAGAGAGAGAGAGAGAGAGAGAGAGAGAGAGAGAGAAACATCAGCGATGAGAGAGAATCATTGACCGGCTGCCTCCCCCACGCCCCACCCTGGGGATCGAGCCCACAACGCTGGCAAAGGACCTCCTGGCTCATGGGTCCATACCCAACCACGGAACCACACCAGCCTATTTTAAAACCTGTGATCTAGGGCTAGTATAAAGATAAATGAGTTGATATGCTTCCAAGGGAGATTCGACTGGGGCCTGGAACTTGTAAGTGCCCAATAAATGCTAGCTGCGTACCAGTTGTTACTTAATCTTCATAAAGACTCAGAGTCCTAACCGGTTTGGCTCAGTGGATAGAGCGCCGGCCTGCGGGCTGAAGGGTCCCAGGTTCATTCCGGTCAAGGGCATGTACCTTGGTTGCAGGCACATCCCCAGTGGTGGGTGTGCAGGAGGCAGCTGATCGATGTTTCTCGTTGATGTTTCTCTCTATCCCTCTCCCTTCCTCTCTGTAAAAAATCAATAAAATATATTTAAAAAAAGACTGAGAGTGAAGCTGCAGAGGCAGTTTTACACGGTGATTAGACACTGGCATCTAGAGTCAGACCTAAGGTTACTGTAACCACCTTGGACAGGTTGTTTGTTTGTTTTTTTTAAATATATTTTTAAAAAGTTTGCCCACCCCTGGGTTAGGGCATGGACAGGTTGGTTAACTTAAGTCCTAGTCCTAAGATGATGACCATGAAACAGTTTCTGGTACATGGTAAGCACTCAGTAAGTCTTAGCTGTTGTTATGCACCATGTTCCTCTGATGACAAAGGAAGGCTCAGGGAGATAAAATGACTTTTCTAAGGTTGTACAACGAGTATGTCAAACTCAAAGGCGAACACGGGCCAAATAAACAAGGTTTATGTTTATGTGGGCCGCAAAAAACCCCCCAAAGCTTCAATTTTCATAGAAAGGTAGGTTTATTTTGATAGAGACATGCTGAGTACAAAGGGCTGAAATAAATGAGTCATTGTTGACATAATAATAGAACATTTTAATAAAAAATTAATATTTTTTCCTGAACATTTACTTAGCAGACACTGAATAACTGCACAAATTAATAAGCGTAACTCAAATAAACCTATTTTTCTTGTTCTCCGATAGCGAAATATTTCCCGTTGCGCACACCAAACAAGTCAGTCCAAGACTAATGACGTGGCAATTGGCTGCTAAAATGTTCGCTGCTGGTATTAGTGGAGAGAAATGGTGCGCCTGCGAGTAAGGCACGTAGGGGAAATGAATGCAGCATGATAGTAATCAGTCATTAGCGAACATTGTAGTTCGTTATTAATAATTATGTATAACCGGGTATTGTAAAAATTAAGTTATGAAATTTTTATTAAAACGTTTTTTACATACCATTATATTGGCTAGGCTGCAAAAATATTCGTGTGGTCCGCGTGCGGCCCGCAGGCTGCGCGTTTGATATGCTTGTTGTACAAGTAGGAAACGTGGGAGCAGAAGGCAGGTTACTCACAGCTTTAAGACTTTTTACCTTTTCTCTATAATGTCTTCAGGCTCTTGACACTCTAAAAGTGTGGTCTTTGGACCAGGATCATAGCCCCAGCTGGGCGTTTGTTAGAAATGCAGAATTTCTGGCCTCACCCCAGATGTAATAATTCTGAGCCTTCATTTTAACAAAATCTCTAGGTGATGAGTATGTATAGTTGAGTTTGGGAGGCCCTGCTGATTGTGGGGTTGAGGTTTGGTTTTCCTTTAAAGGGAGTTTGGAAGTAGTGAAGAAAGGGTTACGCTGGAGAATTAATCCATAGAAATGGACATAATTGCCATTAGGAAGTAAATCTGCTAGGTAGAGTTTCTGCTAGAGAGGGCTTTAAATACAGCCTCATCTGTCATGTATACTCTCTGAGTTTGGTCTCTTCTTGAGCTTAATATCTTTCCTCAGCTGTCATTTGTTCATTCACTCATAAACATTTAATGAACACATTTAAAAAAAATTTTTTTTATTGATTTCAGAGAGGAAGGGAGAGGGGGAGAGAGAGAAACATCAATGATGAGAATCGATTGGCTGCCTCCTGCACACCCCCTAGTGGGGATTAATGAACACATTTTATGCTTCAGGAATTTTGCTAGAATCTTCTTTTTTCCTCTTTTCTAAAAGTGTTTTAGGATTTCCCAGGGTTTTTCTGAGCCTTTGTCTTAACATTCAGTACCATGTCTTTAATACCAACCATCCCCTATGCCCATGGTCGGCAAACTGCGGCTCGCGAG